TGTTTCTCTGATTTCTTTCTCAGCCCAAAACTTCTGCTCATATAAAAACAGTTTTCCTACTCTTTCTAGGGCCCAATCCCTGAATCTCTATCCTTACACATTTTTTTTTATTCTCCAGGTTCACAGGGAGATTCTCAGTGTCCCGGTTTTGTCTTTAAGCAAGACAAATTATAGAAGAAAAGACTTCTAATAGTTTTCTGTTATCGCCCTTCAGTGTCTAAGTATTGAGTTCATACTTATTTGGATTGTATTAGAAGCCTTGATTTAAACAGTTGCTATTTGAGAGACTGGAGAGATGGCTCAGTGGTTAAGAACACTGGCTGCTCTTCCAGACAACCATGTGGCAGCTCACAGCCCTTTGTTAACTCCAGTTCCTGGGGATCTGATCCCTCCTCTTGGCCTCTTTGTGCTCCAGGCATGCATGCGGTAGACAGAAATACATGCAGGCAAAATATCCATCCACATAAAATAATAATAAAACAATTTTAATTGCTATTTGAGTTGCTGACTTGAATTTCACTTATAAAATCACAAAGAGGTTGCAAGTAGACAAAGCTTACAATCCCCAAACTGCTCCCTAACTTCCTCTGTTTCTCTACATTCATTCTTGTGGGGAAGGCAGTCGTGTTCAGCTTCCTGTCCATGCTGGGGAACATTAGATAAAATCCCTTTGCAAGGTCCTACAGCTGGTACTGACCTAATCGCATGAGGGTTTATCTCCCACTGCTGTAGGTCAGCAGAACTGTTTGTTCTACTTGTTCTCATGTCAGTGGCTCCAAGCATGCCTCCAGCTTTCTGCTGGAGCAGGGCCAAGGTGAGTCTTCCACTGCAGCCAATTGCTCGGACTAGCTCCAAAATGAATCTTTTGGCCATGGAGGATCAAGGCATTTCAAGGAACTCTATCTAGTGCAGGGTCTCTTCTCTGGCTGTAAATAAATGCTTTAAGAGTGCCGCCCCTCTCTACCCCCACCCCACCCTGTCTCCCGTGTGTTGTCTTACCCTGGATGACTTCAAATCGTGCATTGGTCTCTTCCTTGGCAAACATCATTTATCACTCTTATTATTGCCTCTAATGAAGAGCCCTTAGAAAAGAGGTGGGCGATGAGATGACTTAGAAAATAATAAAGGTGTTTGCTGTCAAGTCTGGAGGAGCTCTATTCATGGAGCTAAAGAAAAGCTGGAGGGTGAGAACGGATTCCAAAAATCAGTTCTTCTCTGAGCGCCAAATGCATGCTGTGACATGTGTGCCCCTTTCTTACACCATATACTCACACAAATGCACACTGTGACATGTGTGCCCCTTTCTTACACCATATACTCACACAAATGCACGCTGTGACATGTGTGCCCCTTACACCATACACTCACACAACAAAAATGAAATTTTTTTTTTAAAGTAGAACTAGCCAGGCAGTGGTGGTGGCACACACCTTTAATCCCAGCACTCAGGAGACAGAGGCAGGTGGATCTCTGTGAGCCTGGTCTACAGAGCAAGTACCAGGACAGCCAAAGAGAAGCCATGTCTTGAAAAACAAACAAATAAACAAAGAAGAAAAGTGGAACTGAAGGAGTGAAGGATGGCGCTGCAGTAAAGGGTGCTCGCTGCTCTTGCAGAGGACAGGAGTTGATTCCCAGTATCCGGATGGGGTGGCAATGGCGGTGGTGTGGTGGCTTAAATTACCAGTGACTCTAGCTTCAGGGCCTCTGACACCCTCTTCTGGCCTTCAAAGGATCTGCATACACTTGATCATACTGAGCACATGTACTCCCACCTCCACACAGGTATTATAAAGCTTAACAAAGGTGGGTTTAAAGCTTAATTTTAAAAGAAATGGAACTGAAAAGCTAATCTAACTTGTACTCGGTAAATTGCTGTGACTCTCTGGCCCACCACAAAACAAAAAGTTCACCTTTATATAAAATGAGCCAAATCATAACAACTGATTCCCCTTCCCTATAACCCAAGGAAATCCTAGATACAACACAACTGTGTGGCTATTGCCAGCAAGCCCTGGCCATACTGTATGGCTACTCAGGCTATATCAAGCAGGTCATGGCCACTTTTCCATGTGAAACTCCACGTGACAGTTGCATGGGGCTGCTGGGCACAGACTACAGAGGTGCCTCACACAGCGGACACATCTGCAAATGCAAGGCCACCTTTCTATGTCATGTGGATGCAGAGATTCCACTGTGGCTTCAAACACACTTTAGTCATTTGCTTAGATAGCAAAAAAGACTCCCGTCTGAGCATGACACCACAGCCATGGTCCAAGCAATAGCACAGAGACAGGGTCATCACATGAAATGAATCTTCTGCAGTTTGTCCCGGATAATGGTGGGATGAGATCAAAAGTGTGAGGACCAAATAACTATACAGGCATTGAAAATCCTGCCTAACCAAAGCCATCTGAACATTAAACATCACTCTTGGGACAAAAGTCACTGGACATGTCAAGTTCAGTCAAGCTGTGACTTCCCGCCACCATTTGTCTGGTTGGGATAAAAAGGTTTGGCTCAAGGAGCAGGGGCAGTGGGTCCCTATGGAAGTAGCAGACAAGAGTGTCTCCTGGAAAGCTCATGGAGGGTGTGTGTGGGGACATTTCACCTGTTCTGACAATACCTTGACAGGAACTAGTACAGCCGAAGGGAGGATTTGTCATCCCAGAAGTCCCTCTCATCCCACTCAAATTGTAAGGGCTCCCATTGTGTCTCTACACAATGACTTGGAATTTCCCAAGACAAACTGGACTCCCCAAACTAACTAGTCAGGGTGCCGAGGGACAGCACAGTCACCCTCAGTTGTCTGTTGGCAGAGCAGGGTGGCATGTGTTGACACTGGTGTGCACATAATTTGAGGAGGGAAGAAACAGTTGGAACAGATGTCTGCTCAGAGAGGATGGTTATCAGCTATACATCTGGTAGTCCCTCAACGCAAATTAAAATGGACTCATTCCTCCAGACAGTGGTGACACACACTTCTAATCCCAGCACTCCAGAGAGAGAAGCAGGCAGATCTCTGAGTTTGATGTGAGCCTGGACTATAGATAAGTTCCAGGACAACCAGGACTACACAGAGAAACAGTCTTAAAAAACAAAACACAAAAACCAGTCATATTCCAGACACATGAAATTTCTAGTTGAGTGAATATTTCTTCTTAATCTGGTTTTCCTGGTGATCCTAAGTTATCTCAAAATCAGAGGGAGGCCCTGTCTCCAAGAGGCACCCAAAGGGGAGGCTAAGCAGGCCCTATCAGACCAAGCTGCCCTCCACATTCGGAGATACTTATCCTGCTGGATGTGGTGTGTTGTGGTGGCCTTTGAGGGAGGGCTGGACTGTAGTCACATCAGTTCCCTACTGTGGGGATCACGTAAGAACACCTGAATGCTTCTCCAGCCTGTGCCGTGGGACTCTCCCACTGTAGCTCTGGTGTCTGGCTCTCAGCACACCCCCAGATCTTTGTCTTTCATCGTCAAATGGGGAGGGATGAAGGGAGTCTTTCGTGACAGCCTGAGCAGGGTGCTGGCAGTTGACCTCATCCACGCTGGCTCCATTTGTAGGTCTGCTGGCCATGGGGTGGGCGTGGCTGAGAAATTGCAGGGGCTGTAAGAAAACAAGTGTCATACTCACGCCTGGTGTGTCTTGTTTATTTTGGGTGACTTTGAATCAGGCACTGGCAGGTACTTTATCTGCCTGCTGATCTCGGCCACAGAGCCCAGCCACCTGCGAGAGACGCAATCTCTGGGCCTTGTCCACTGTTCTGAGCAACCAGCACTCGCGCTGATCTCTGGAGTTCCTGTCTGTGAGCTCTCACCATTTTTGGCTCTGCTATGTTGCCATCCTCTCATCTCATGTTTTGATTCAAGATTACAGCAATCCAGTCTCTCCCCGCCCCCAAGCATGTCCTTAGCACCAGTCACATTATCTGGCACACAGTGTGAGTGTGTGGTTATTTTTAATGAGTTCAACAATATCTTAGTCTGTTGCCATTTGGGGTCAGTGTTTTCTGAAGTCCTTAATGAGGCAAGGGGCTGAAAGCAGAGCAGACTTTGCCATCAGGAGGAAGTGGAATGTAGTGAGGATGGTGGGTAATGAGGGTCATATACTTCCATCATCGGAGTTGATTCTTCTGCATACCCAGCTCCATTCTGCACCAAGCTCTTATTTCCAGAAATAAATTACACCCTCCACACCCAGTCATTTTTGTGGCCCACTTTTAATTATGTGTGGCTTTATGTGCTATTTTTCAGGGTTGAGCAAGACCCAAATCATCTGGGAGAAATGGCATTTACCGTGAATTGAAGGAAGCCCATCAATGTTCAAGACAAACATAGAAGCCAGATATGGTGTCATGCTTGAATCCTATCTACAGAGGAAGCTGAAGTAAGAGGGCTGGCTGAACATGTTCAAAGTTTGAGGCCAGCTTGGATTACATAGTGAGATCTCATGTCAAAAAACAAAATCCAGTTAAGATTTATCAGGGAACTAACTCTCTCCTGACCCAGCCCTACCATTTTAACCCATTCCTCCCTGAGCTCTTTGGCAGTTTGACATGCACTGGTTTTCGGAAAGCTTTTGACAAGGTTTCTCTGTAGCTTGGAGTCTGTCCTGGAACTAGCTCTAGTCTGGCCTGCTTCTGCCTCCCGAGTGCTGGGATTAAAGGCGTGTGCCACCACCGCCTGGCCAGAAAGTATTTTTTTGATGATCTTGTTCACTAGACTTTAAGCTCGTCTCACCATTGGTCTCACAATGGTAAGAACACAGTGGTGCTTAGTGATGACCTGAGGAACTAACAAGCAGCTAGAGCCAGGTGTTCTTAGCTTCCTGTGCTGGTCTCCTGGGCACAGCGTCAACAGCTTTTATAAACAGCTCCCCGTACTCTACGAACAAGTATCCTGGAACAAAACAAGAAATCAGAAACAAGTCAATTTCATGAGAACTCCTTTTCTAAACTTGGCTAATGAATGGACAAACTCACACCTGACATGAAATTAATTTATAAATCAATTTATTTACAGATTTCATCTTAAAGTACATTTTAGTTAACAAATCTATTTACACAGCTATACATGGGAATCCATCCCAGTTATTTTACAGATTACTTACAAACCACACCCTTAGTCTTCTGTGCAGACTGCACGGGTGTGACTATTGGCTGAAATGGCCTGATGACCAGGCTATTTACACACACACAGTAAACGGGTTTCTTTTCCATGTCTGCACAGTACAGTACACACAAGGAGGCTGAGCCCCCTAGAGAATGCTTTGCAATGTGTAACCAAGAAGGCTTTGCAAAGTCCAGAAGGAAAAGCTTTTAAACATAGGTTAATTAAAATGACAGTACCTCCTTTACACCAGTTTACATTTTTCTTCACATTTTTATAATACAAAGATTTTATTGAATTGCTGCACAACCAGTTTAAGATGATTTGTAAACATGTAAATTCCTACAATTTGCATTAAACATCATTGTAGTTTCTATCACTTGCTCTTTGAATTATGTTTTATTCACTAGTATTCTTAAGGTAGTAAAAGGAAGATGTAAGTTTGAATTTCTTGCAGAAGTTATGAGTCTCTAATGCTGTGCTACAGAAATTCTTTTGCAAGTACACACTTTATTCAAGTATTGCAAAAAGCTAAGGCCACTTTTTTTCAAGACAAGAAAGTGAACAAAATTGTTTTTATCAATAGGCCACAACACTCTTATGAGCAATGCAATCTCTTTTGAAAGGTAATTTCTCAGAGACCTGTAGTCACAGAAGGAATTCCCCTTCCTTATTAACTACTTTTTGAGCTCTTCCCACTTTTCCCTAGAGAAAAATTCCTGTTTAGACCTGAAGAGGGGATTGATACCCTGTACTTGTTTAACCCAGAGGTAACTGCCCTGGGTAGCACAAATTGTTTTGGACTCAGAAGTAAATCTGAAGCCTGCATGGTGGTTTACTACTAGGTTCTGACAGTGCTATTTTAAACGGTGTTACTGCTGATGCAAATATCTTCGAGAGGAGTTATGCAGAGAGACAGAAGGGACAGGTGTGGGAGAGGAAGCGAAGATTAGAAGAGGGAAGAGTAGGTTCTTGGTTAGGAGGCAGGGCTTCATTAAAAAGATCCCAGTATGGAGTGGCTGGGTATCCACATTTATCATTCCTGATCCTATCAACAAACCATCTCAGTTAGATCCAAATAGTTAAAACAGTAAGAAATCCTAGATTCTTTTGATTTTTGCTATCAAACTGTAGATATGATTGCTAGCAAAGGATGAGACTGGCCTATTCCTATCTTTTCTGGAACGCGGGATTCTGGGATAGTGAAGACAGCTGGAGGAGGTTACGATGGTCACTGCCACGGTCCAGCAGTGTCCAGATTTCTGAGTCCATGGACTTATTTCAGTATGTTTTTCCTTTTCTGGCATTTTAATGTAAAGAGTAAAGATACACCTTATTAAAAATTAACTTTAGGTCCAAATAATGAAGAGTGGAAAACAACCTATATTCCTATTATAATTTGATTTTCATTTGTAAAAAAGTATAGCAGCTGTAAAGTTCAGTATCATAAAGACAATGTGATCCTACAAACAGTCAATGGATGTACACAAGATGTTTCCTGTCTTCCAAAGAACACAAATTGAAGAGAAATATCTTTGCTTTCCTTGGCCACATGCAAACACTATTTCCACACTACTGGTAAACAGCCCCAAGAACCTTTGCTTCTCTTAGTCAGGTTGCTCGTTATGGCTAAAGACGACAGCTCAACAGCAAATGCACGAGGAGATGCTGATGAGACCCCACCTGAGCATTCAGGAGACCCAGCTGTAACATTTCAGTGCTTTCCTGTTGTCAAGAGCTAGCACACCAGTCACTGTGCAAAATGCAAATATCCCAATGATGATTTCAGCAAATCTCATGTAATGACAGAATGAAACTGAAGAGAAATGAAGTGTGCATAGTGAAATATCTGAGACGCAAAGGCAAGTCTGGAAGAGAGATGCAGAAAACAACAAACGTGCACACTTAAGGGTTACGCTGTCTTTGGGTTTTCTAATGTCTTTTGAAGAAGCCGTAAAGTCCAGGGTATCTGTAAGTGTGAACCTGGTGGATGTCTTACCATGCTGCTCTAGTCTGAATTGTAAGGTTAAGGCATTTCCATTCACGCCTAAGATCATCCACATTCTCCGGGATTACTTGAAGGACAGGACTGATGGAGAAACCAGTCTGGAAGGCAAGTGCTCAGGGTGAGCACCGAGTGCTCGGATGCAGCAGCTGGAGTCTGGAGACTTTTCTCAGGTACAATTGTGAGACGCAAGGGAGGCAGGAGTAAACTTTCAGGTCCCCTCCTGCTCCTGCTGTCACAGGCGACGCTGTAAATGCCTGTCATCGTTCTGATGAACTCAACTGATTCCTCAGTGTGTGTACACATTTATTATAACTGCATCTTTCTTTCCTGCGCGAAGACTAAACTCTAGAAACTTCGAGACAGAGGTTTGCTATTATGAGAATTTCACTTCTCAATAGGGACACACATCTTCAACTTAATAATTTATCTTAAAATAAATTAAAAAATGTTCTACAGAGCAAAACAAGCACGCAGACTATAGACAATATCTTCTTGTCTTTGGTGCACACACTCATTTCCTAAATCATTCAAGTAACAGCATCTGACTTCTGGGGAGAGATGGGAATTCAAAGTTTGAAGGCCAAAATGAACTCTTTCCACTTTTGCCATGCTTGGATGCCTGAGATGGTCCTGAGTGTCTACGATTCTGAGAGCAGCTGGTAGAGGTTAGGGCAAGTGAGGAAAGAGTAGGGAGGGACAGGCAGAGGAACCAGCCCATGGCAGTCCTGGAGCCTCATCTTCAGTGGGGCATTTGTTTTTCGCCCAGACAGGAAAATTAAACACAATGCAACGGGTTAGAGTTGTTTAGGTGGTGCCCAGACAGCAAAGCACCGCTTCTTTCTGATGTCCACGTGGTGCTGCTCAGCTTCAGGATGGAAGGAACGGGTCTTCAGGAAATAATAAACTCCAGAATGTAAATAGGCAGAGAATCTTGAATTTGCCTATTTTAGAAGTGGTTATGGGTTTAATACTGTTCACAGACTACAATGTCCATTTATGACTTTCTTTATACAGACCAGTATTATATTTTGATTAACTTATTTACCTCTCTTTCCTGATAAGACTCAAGGAAGTGATGGCCTTGTCTAACCTCAGAGGTAAGTCTGGTGTTCTCGGCCCTCATCTGAGCCCTAGTAGGGTGCTAAGAAGGTGAATGATGATACCAAATCTCAACATCAGGAGTGTAACCCTGCCCACAGGAAAGAATCACGCACTCCTGTGGGCAGTCTGTAAAGGCAAAGGCTGTAATACCAGATATACCACATTGTCCCATGAACTCCAAACCAGCAGTCCACAACAACAGGTGCGAGGTCCAGAAGCATCCTTGCTATGGTGGAGACGGGTGTGTATCGGGAGGCAGAAAGGCCCAGGACTCGTGTTAGCACTCAGTGTTCGATTTATTTGCAAGATGTCACACAAGTAGCATTCTCCCCTGGTTTTCACTGATCTGATTGAGAACATCAATAGTATCTTTGATCAAGGTCTCAAAGATCCCATCAGCCAGCTGCATCTTCACACACAACTCATCCTCATCATAGTTAACCCACTGTGCCTCCTCCTCGTGGAGCTCCTGGACCTAGACATTAGAAGGCAGTAAGTTAGCAAATCTGTCCCACAAGAGCTTGGAAACATCTCCCATGTTATAGTCCCATCCACAATAATATGTCCCAAAGAAATAATGTCAATACACCTTTAAAACTGACATCTAAACTAAAAATAGCTGTGAAACTACATTTCAATATGACAGTCCAGCACTTTGGAGACACTAAGAATTATATGTCCACTGTCTGTGTTAACATAAAGGAATGCATATAGGAGCTTACGGGAAAGAAAACCAACAAGTTTAGATGCATGCACTGTGATGAAAAACCGCTCATCCAACAAATGCTGGCTATGGTTCCAGAGTATTCTAAAAACATGAACGCCAGCCATGGTGGTGCATAGCTGTGAGCCTAACTCTCAGGAGGCTGAGGCAGAAGAAGACAAGTTCAAGGTCAACAAAGACTATATAGGCTACCTCTCAAAATAACTTCTAACATTTTTACAAATGTAACACTGCTTAAACATAGTTTTTAAATTGTTATGACTTGCTTTTTTTGTATTTTAGAATTTTTGGGATTCCTAGGCAAATGAAAACTAATCAAATCAGAAGTAACTCTTTAAGGTTTACTGCTTGCTTATAATTTTAAATAACTATACTCCAAAGACACTGGCCTCCTTACAATTATAGTGGGATGGAAGCCAGGTTTGGAAAAGCCCTGACCTAGTTCCAAATTCATCAAATTAGCTACAGTTACAGGGTCATTCTAGTCTAACAACAAAAAAAGCCAAGTAAAGGTTTCAGTTGTCCTGGTTTTGGTGTTATCTGGGAGAAGCAGAGTAGATGGGGGAACTACTTAGTGCTTGAGCTCCTTTATGAAGCAGTAACATGGCAAAGACCCCAGCGTGGAGGTGGACAGGAGGGAGAGCAACACATTCCATGTTTACACACTTACGGTTGGGTTTGACACATCAAAAGGAAGCAGCCTTCTCTTTTCCTTTGAAGGAAGGCTTGCAGGCCTTACAAATATCCAACCCTCTGTTCCCTAATTTATACTCTGTGGAATAGATGGCTATTGAAGAAGGGTCTACAACCAAGTAAATCTAAGGGAACTCATTCTCAATGTATACAATGAATGTAGTATATTAAAGAGAAGTACGCCCTTAAATTAGTTTAATTCAGTTTCTTCTCTCTACTAGGCCACAGAATCCCGCCAACATAGAAGATATGGATTCAACCTAGCAAGGAACTGGTATGAAGGCCAGCCTACCACTGTATGGTGTTGGAGAACAACCATGCTCTGGGAAAGCTAACAAGTAGGTCTGCCTAAGAGACTTCACATTCTCAATTTAAACTGCAGTTTTCCTTTTTGTAAAGAAGATTTCATCTTTAATATTAAATCTTTTAATCAAATATCTCTTTGCCAAAAACAGAATTTTAGAAAATGCTATCCTATAAAAATCTTTTTTATACTTGCAACAGAAATAGTTCATGACGGTATTATCTCTTCAGTGTAGTGTGGATGCACCCCCCACCCCAAGCAAATGCACCGTTTTAACAGACCAGCTACCAACACTAACTATTGCTTTCTTCCTCAAAGGGCAGCGGCTAAGTGGAGCTCAGTGGGCACAGCACAGCCAGCAGGCCATGAAGCCCCAAGCCCAGTTTCCCAGGACTACAAACCAGGAACCACTCTGCCCCTTCCTTTTTGTCTGACTCTCAGATCAAAGCCCACCTTGGTACCACAATGACAATAGATCCATCTCGATTATTTCCTTCTAGTTTTCAGAGTCTGTTATATCCTATTTCACATATATCCCTGCAGATGTATGTGTGCCTTTGTGTAAAGTATATAAACAAATTCTTTAAATTAGGAATAAAAGTCTAACATTAACCACCCCCCAACACAAACTGGGCAGCTGTAGACTAGAACAGTTTCTTAAAAGTGGTATCACATGTGTGTAAACACACACACACACACAACAATAGTATAAGACTTCTGAATATGCAATGATCAAATATCAAATACATAATAGTTTAGACGTGTTTCTGTTAGTAGTCACATGTTATATCACTGCAGCCTTGGTTCAAAACATACATGTACACTGTGTGACATCATGCCTGCTACACCATCAAAAGGTGTCCCAAACAGCTGTTTAGATTGATACCACTGTATGAGCTAATGTTTTCTGATCTTACAGAAAACGTGATTAATTATAGAAAACAGAATTTCAGTGTTTCCCTACAGTTAACTCCTCAGCATGTTATTAAACTAGTTAGTTACCCTTTGGACTGTACTGTAATTTGTTGACTTGAGTTTCATATAAAAAAATTAAATGAATTTTGGCTTGGAATTACAACAGAATTTCCAATGATTTCTGATATAATTCAAAATATACTTCTGTCACTTTGCACTATATAAAAGTGATGTTTTCAGCATTGATGACTATGAAATCAAACCAACTCTGAAAAATGTTGGAGATGCTCTGTCCTGCAGTATAATATATTCAGCCAAGATTTGATTCTTTATGTGAAAACAAATGAGCACATCTGTCTCATTAGCATGCAGATGTGCTTTAATCTCAATCAATGTTCATTTATATCTGTGTACCAAAGCAATGCCTTAAGATCTTTGATTTATTATCAGTAAATGTTTGATTGTTATACTTATTTATATGCCTGAGGCTGCATGAAAATTTCTCAGACAAAAAAGGGCAACAAAGGAAAAAAGTTTAACCTGTGCTGGTGCAATGTGAAGAGATGGTGGCCAGGGTTGTCTCCCACAACTGGCCTGTTCCCAGCAGAGGCAGCTAAGCTGCACTGTGACTAAAGGACAGCTATCTATCTGGAAGGAATCTCTCCCTTCTGCTTTGCTGATGTGGAAGACCCTTTGAACTTCCATTCCGCTCTCTCCCCTGATCAACCACACTGTGCATGGCTGTGAGCTTCCAGGGACCTTCTGGGTTGTGATTAGCATGGTGTAAAGAGAAGGTATTTGGTCAGTGTCTGGAATGGATCTTTTTAATGATTGGAGAATGTTGGCTTTGCAAATTCATGGTTTTGGGTTTTCTGTGATGGGCCTCACACTGTAGTCCTGGTAGGATTCAAACTCATAGTAATCTTCCTGCCTCAGCTTTCCGAGTGCTGGGATTACAAGCGTGAACGACCATGCCTAGTGCAGTTCATGGTTTCAAACAATGACTTAGATGAGGTAGGCATATCAATTGCAGGTAATAAAACCTAGGCAATACAGTAGACATTTATGAAGAAAGAACCAACAAATATGATAATCTGGAATGATGGCCATATTTCACAAGTCTGCAGGCTTGTAATAGTATGGGGGCGATGGAGCCAGGAGGGCCTTCATACTGTGATTCTAGCCACTCCAACAACTCAGAAGTGCCTGGAAGCTTATCCTGGGCTCATCTCTTGGAGTCCAGCCTTCGAGGTCAAAGTGGAAGGGGGAAGAAGAGGAGAGCCCCCTTCAGCAGATGCTAACGGGCTTTGATTTGAACATTTACAGTATAACCTCCGGCCTTTCCTGCTTCCCTGCCAAGGGCGTTATATTGCTGCCAGCTCTTGCCTTCATCTCTTCACATTTCTCTCCAGGTGCCAGGCAAAATCTTGACTTCCTTTCTTCCCTACTCCTGGCTGTTATATTAATTGAACTTCCAATGTACTTTTAGGATCCTCTAGGTAGGCCTACCGGACAGGTGCCTCAACCCAGCAGACAAGTCAGGTTTGATTGTCACTCCAACTTCCAACATGGCACTTATGGTCACTCTGGAGGGGATAGCAGCACTGGAAGGCAGCTCAAGGCAGGTACCTGGAAGTACCCTGAGGCAGCAGTTCCAGAAATGGCCTTGTCTCTCTGGTCAGACACTGCCAGGAAAGAGTGCTGGCTTCTCATCTCCTCCCAAACATGCATCCCTGACTGTAGGTTACACATGGGGGAACTAAAAACTCTAATCCAAGCCTTAACCCCTTCTGGTGAACAGCTCTGGATAGCAGCGGGTTATGTCTAGCTATTTTCTAGTCTCAGCTCATTTCCTAAACAATTTTAAGGTTACATCTTCAGGGTGGGGAATGTAACAGCAAAGAACGAAATCTCCCTCTAGGTAGAGACACACCTCAACTCTCTTCCTTAAGTTTACTCAACTGGAGATGAAGGCCTTGGCTAACAGACCATCCCAAGGAAGGTAATTCATCTTAAGACCACGTTCTTTTCCTTCCTAGAAGTCTTACCCCCTAGGCTCAGTCCCTACCAGCTGCCATGAAGTTGGTTGGGTTTCCTTGCCTTTCTTAGTCCTGAGGCTGACCTCTATGCAGGCTTATCTCAAACAAACAGCACAGTTTTTCCTTCTTTTTGTTTTCTCCAGTCCTCCCCTGGGAAGCCCTGAGAATCACAGGTTGCCTGTCCTGGGTGGAGGGGTATTTTAAATTCTAATGCCATTAGCTTTTATTTAAAGCTTTTAAAGGAGGGAGTGCTGAAAAGATGGCTCAATGTGATATTAATACCTATGTAAAGCAGGATAACAGTGCTAACAGAGGTAAAGACAGCCAGGCCAGTCACTCAGTGAGCTCCAGGTCCAATTTGATGAGACTCTTTAAAAGAGTAAGGTGGGTAGCAACAGGGGAAGAAGCCGATGTCAGTGTCTGGCTCTACAAGTCTGGAAGAGAGCATCTGGATACACATGCCCCACCCAGACACAGCTGGAAGAGAGCATCTGGATACACATGCCCCACCCAGACATAGCTGGAGGTTTGGACTTGGGGATTCACTAAGCTCCTGTAACATAATGACCAATGAACTAGGATACACAACAAGAAAAGGATATCTCTTCAATAAATGATGCTAAGAAAACTAGATATACGTATTTACAGAGGATAAAATTGGATCCTTCTACTGTATACAAGTATGGATTAAAGGCAAACGTAAGACCTGAAACTATTAAACTAGAAAGAAATGGGAAAATATGACAGTGGAGTGGAAATGGTTTTTTGGGGTTTTTTCTTTTTTCTTTTATAGGATACAA